GATTAATATTTAGACCTACAGAGTGTAAAATAATATTATAAATGTGAGTATTTTTAGGTTTCTGTTAGAGGAACCTGACATGTTAAGAAGATGGTTAGCTAATAGAGACAAGTTTCATCCTATAACCAGAGAACATTTTCTAACTGTTGACTGGTAAATATAAATGTGCTTATTTTTTATGACAGTAAGTAGAAATAATAAATATACTTTATTTCTAGCTGAAGTCATCATTTTTCAACTAGCTACAGGCTGACTTCAGGTCTGGTTTATATCATTACTTATAAATTATATATTTTTCTGGTATAAATCTGCTGTTTTACATGATTGTTGAATGAAATTAACATAATTATTAATTTATTGTAAAAAACATGACCGATAACCTGTGAAACAGATCCGGTTCGACCCTGTTTGGTCTGTTTCTGCTCCTCCATGCTGTTACAGACGCTACCAGTGGACAGGATGGGCGGGGCTCAGTCTAGTGTTCTTATTCAAGTCTATGGTCTGCACTGATTCCAGAAACAGTTCAACTACCAAAAAATACTCCCAGCTGTTTTTMTGGCAATATGTAAATGTTTTGTTAGTGTCAGCAAACCCAGCAATGCCAAAGTGAGCCCAGCCTTGATAACCCAAGCAGAGGCTCCGCCTACTTCTTCACAGGACGACCATATTAGTTCTGCTGTTTTTACAACAGTCATGGAGAACAGAGAGGCGTGGCTTAATTTTATTTTTGATGGCAATGTCTCTGTGATATTGCCAAAGAAGGTTTTAGTTTGTTCAAATAATTTCACCATGGACTCCTTTGAAAACTAACAGCAGGATTTACCCAAACTTTCAACAGAAGGAAACTTCTGTCCTTATTGTTCATCACATATCTGCAGATGATGTTATGTAAGTGATGTGTTGTGTGTTTAGTGTTCCTGTTTGGCATGAACATGATTAGTCATTTAGCACAAACCAATGCTGAAAAATAATGTGCGGCTGTCATCAACAACAGAGGAGGCACAACTCACGCTGGCCTCCCCGGTACCAAAGCGTCTGACTTTGGTCGGAGCTCTAGTCTGTCCCTGCTAAGCCCTCAACTGGGGGGGGGGCACTGCACGCAACCTGTCTACTGCTGTTGTACCATTGTGTAAATGCTGGTACTCGTAACCATTTTCTGAAGTGCCATTCAGAACAGGCAGAACTGACCAGGTGAAGCCTCATTATCTGAAAATGACTTTGTGTTTTAAATAGGGAAGCAAACAAATAATCGATTTACAATTAATGGTTTATTAGATTAAAGTTTCTTCCATTCGTTTAGTTGAAAACATCCATTTAAACCTTATTTTTGGTGTAGTTTTGAATTCATCCAGCAGAGGGCGCTGCTGCTCTACCCCGGCRCTGTTGAACTGAGCAGCAGAAAGCTGTCTCAATAATGTGGGTGGGACCACAAACGCGCGAGTCTTATTTAGTTTTATTTGTGACACAACAATAATCATGGACCCAAAAGAAAAGATCTGAAGGCTGTACTGGACCATCAAGCAGTATGACGCTTAAAACAAGAGAGCAGGACGACAGAACGATAAGCTAACTTTAGCTAACGTTAGCTTCCTCTCGTTGAGTTTAACTCCGTGTGAAAGAACAAAACAAAACCGATACAGTTGCTAAAAATATGAAGTTAATCTAATCTGTGTGGCATAACCCGGCCAGTGAACCAATCTAATAAATAGTAACTGATGTCAGATCATGACATGTCCAGCAGCCCAGCTAAGATAGAAGCAGACTGTGTGTAAACAAACAAACAAACTATTGCCAGTACTCATTTGTATCACACATCTTTCAAAGAAAGATATTTTATTATGTTCTCATTTTGTTTTTGAGTTAATCTTAAAATATTACCCTGTGTTTAAATAAGTTTTTCATCTTAAGGGTGGATTAAGTGTTTTACTTTTTTTTTTTTCAACTAGCAACTTAACAGATTCCTGTTTTGTTATATTTTATAAATATGTCCAAGTTTAATACTGTGAGAGAAATCCCCATTTTTCTGTTCATTCAGTCAGTGTTTACTCACACAGCAGGCACAATGAATTGTTAAAATACTGTACTTTTTTATTTAGTGTGTAAAAAATTAGCCCTTGATGTTATAGAAAGACTCTTGATTCAAYAGAAATGTTAGGTTTTTAGGAAAATTGCCGCTTATCATTCGTTAGTCGATCGATAAGATCAATCAACTTTAGATTAATCCATTAATGGATAACTTGCATCCCTAGTTTTAAATCTAGTGAACATGTTTTGAATAGCCCACAAATGTATCCTAACTTGTTCAAGGAACCATAATAGGTCCCCTTTTAATACCTCTAATTATACCATTTAAAGTGAGAAAACATCAAACGTCAACAGAAAGCTGCTYGTGGGAGAACTTACTGTGCTACAGCAGAAAGGAGGTCATAGTTTTTGATGGAGTCTGCTAAAGTGTCAATGCACGATTCTAATGTCAGAAGTAGCTCAATGACAAAACCCTAAGGACAAAAAAAAACAATTAGACACACACAAGTTCAAATACAGTATATAACACTTAAAGAAAACTTTGAGAGAAACAAAAGATGAGCATTAATCTTCAGGTTGCTCCTGACCTGAGCCTCCTCTCCTGGGTCTCCTACAGTCTCAACCAGACGGGACAGAATGTCAGACAACGTTGCCAAAGTCAAAGGTTGTTTAAGTGCTCTGAAAATCTGGAAGGAGCGGCCGGCGTAGTGGCGAGAAGAGCAGGACAGAGCTGTTCTCAGAGCCACTTCACTCAGCATGGAGTCCAGTTGGACATCTAAAGAAATGAACACAAAGATAAATACATCCAGTCCAAAACACACAGAAACCAGGGCGGACCGGGAGCAGACAGACCTGTCTGCGACTGTTTGAAGATGTTCACCACGTGTCGGACAAAAACACTAAGCTGCTCGGCGCTCTTAATGTTGGGGTTCTTGGGCGACACGTCTTCATGATTCCAGAGCGGACCTCGCTTTCTGCAAGTCGAGACAGGGTGAACACAGATCAGACAGCGTGCAGTGTTACAGTGAAACACTTCATGACAGCTGCCACACCAGGAAACACACATCACAGCAAATCAAAGCCACGCAAAGTTAAAATACCCCGTCCTGTTACACACTGCTGGGAGCATGAAAGCAAAATCATCGTCCACAATAAGTAAAACATTCCGTACTTTCAAAAACTACTTCACTAATATTGTCTCAGAATACACATTATACAACAAATATGAAGAAGATGTGAGATATTTGTGTTGTCTCTGTCCTCACCTTGATGTAATAAACTCAATAAGAGCTTTGGCCACCTCGTCGTGCTCAGCTGTAACATCTGCCTCAGTGAGCAGTGTGGGGGATAAGTGGGACTGAGTACTACCCCCTGCCCCGAGACTTATACTGGAGGACGTGGAGCTAATGCTGAGACCAGAGTCTGTCACTGGTGACGGCTGGAAATCTGCCAAAATATCCTGAGTTCCTGCAGAAACTGTAAAAACACACATTGTCAACACTTCCTACAGTTTTACGATAAAAATATTATACTTTCACACATTCAAATATGCAGATTTYTTCTGTTTTATCTCTGAAATAAAAAAAAGCTTTTCACAAGCATTTCTACAGTGGTGTGATTTTTATATTTGTATTGTATTTTATTGGTGAGTGCAAATAACAGTAAACTAAAAGAATACAAGAAATAATACTTAAAAATTTTTTCCATTTGTTTTCAAGTTTATCATCTAAAAATGATTTCTTAATTCTACAAATCAAATTCTGTCCTTTCATTACCTCTTCTATGACTGGACTAACAACTGTCTATAAAAACCCAAGAGCAGGGCACCACCAAACTTGTTGCCCTCCAGTTTTACCCTCGAGTCCCAAGCTTTTTCCTTTTTTATTTCCCCTTAGATATTAAGGATTCGTACACCGCATAAATGTATAAACATTAGTGCTGGGCGGTATACCGTTTTGTACCGAAAACCGGTTTTTATTTTTTGTTATGATATGACTTTTCTGAATACCGGTGTAAATAGCCTGAACATGTGCGGAACGTTTTTTCGTGGCTGCCAGTGAACTGTTTCCCTGGGGACATGTTTCTTCGCAGCACCGCTAAGCGCATTAGCAAGCTAACGTTATTGTTGGAGCAACTGGTGGTGGGTGGTGTGTTTCAGCTGCTTATATGGTCTGACATAAAAAAAACCATCCCGTTTTCACCATCGCTGAATAGTAAACACCTCTTTTGACAATTCAGAGTCAAAAACAGAAATATATGTTTTTGTTTAAGAAGAAAAACAAAATTTCTAATCTAGTCCCTCTGAATAAAAACAATCAGTTTAAAACCAATGTTCTCAAGTAAAGATGGAGGTTCTCAGGAGGTTATATACATAGATATATTTTAAATTAATAATTAAAATAAATCTAAATCTAACATGAGGCAGCACAGTTGCACAGTTGTATTTAGTCGAGCAACATGTTTACTAAGGAAGTGTGTTTACATGTTCTCCCCATGCAGGAGTGGGTTTTCTCCAAGTAGTGCCATTTTCTCTCTCAACTAAAATTATATTTATTAAAACTAATCTGTCGTTAAAAAACAAATAACTGAATAGTTTGGGATAATACTACAATGTATGTAGTTCYTATCTGCATTTTTAATCTTTATTTCCAGTTTGGGTTTTTTATAATTAGTTTTTGTTCACAAAAGTAAACAACAAGCAAATCAAACTGTTTCAAAATTAATAGAGGCTTTAAAACGGAGAAAACTTGTTCCTTGTAAATGTTTTTAAAATGTAGATTTTGACTTTTTTAAAAGGCATCACAGTAATTACTTGTGTCCCCCTCACATTTAAATCTAATTTCTTTGGACCCTCCACTGTGTCTGTTGCTTAACAAATTCATTCCACTTGATTTATAGAATACTCACCAAGTGTTTACTTATATAGGTAAAAGTCTGTTTAACAGCCTGTTAAAATACACCAGAATAAAGGAAATTATCTACTTCATTCTACCCCCTGCCAGTGGAGCTGTTTTTAGCTTCCAGGTGAGCAGCRTGTATAAAGGAATTAGTATTACTGATGAGCCAATGTACAACCAGTGATATAACAGAGAAGACCTTTCTTTTGTCAGCATTTCTACTTGTTTCTTAGTGACAATGCTACTGAAGAGCAGCTACTCTCTGTGGTACTGCACAGATCCAGAGTGAAGTTGAGTGAACTTGTACACATGTCAAAGGACAGGTTAGCTCAGCCCTGACAGACAGACAGGACCTGATCAGAGACCTGGTGGAAACTTCTGCTCATTGCAAGGAAGAGATTTTTGAATAAACTTCTAGTGTAGCATTTTAATGTCAACTCATCATGTGATTTACCCACGTTAAAGTACCTGTGACATGCCTATCCATCAAATACAAAAAAAAATCAAAGAAAACATCTTTATACTTAAGAAAATTGACATAATACACATGATTTTACCCATTTTGTCACATAACTTGCTTATTTTCTTTTGGATTTGGCTCAGCCAAAGTGAAACAGTAAGTGACATCAAAGGGGAACTCATTAATAAAACAAAATTATTTAAAATTTTACTCTTCTTCGTCTCTCTTTGATAATGACTAAAAATAATCTAAGGAAACATCAGATTCTTCTCTACATCTATAGTCTGTTTCGTTGGCTTTTGTAACAATGCTCTGTTTACATGCTGACATTACCCTTTGACATCACTTCCTGTTTCTTCACATGCAAATATCTCAATAACTGTTCACCTCAGCGACTTGAAATTTGTTTTGCAATATGTTATCAATGTTCTCTTTACAAAAATGCATTCAAGTTTATTACTAAAATTTGATATCACAGGCCCTTTAAATGTTCATTTATAACTGCAACACAATCTATGCACTGCAGGGGGCAGAATCGCTTCTATTGTCTGCGGTTTATTTACAAAAGAAGAAGAATGTGGCGTGCCGCTCTGTAAAGCACAGCAGACGATGCAACAGGCGACAGGGTGAGATCACAGATCTGTGCAGGTGAGATGTGTGTGTGCTAGAGCTGAATAGGAGGTGAGCTCACAGGAAGCATAGATGGACGTTGTGACAGAAATGATCGTTGACTAATCMACTAATTGAAGTGGACTATCATCATTGTCATCAGTTGTAGTCCTACTAACGGCTAGGAGAAAATCCCCACGTTTCTTTGTCCTGACGCCACCTGCAGGACTGACCTGTAAGGTTGCGCTCGGGGGTTGCTGGTTTCACAGTTAGAACTCGTAGATCATTGTAGTCTCTGTTTTGTAGAAGCACCTTGGCCACAGACGGACCACTGCTACTGGCAGACTGGACAATGAGCAGGTGAAGCAGCAGGCGTTTGCAGTGCTCGTAGACCTCTGGGTGCTGGTGATCAAAGCCTGCGAAGAAAGGAGCAAATGTAACCCTGTTTGTCTTTTAGCAAAGTATCTTCAAACCACTGGACTGACTTTAACAAAACTCTCAGAAAGTAKTAACTGCAATGTACATCTATACCCTTTGAATTTAACACAATGCAAGATGGCTCCCACAGCTTATCGATAATAGCAAACACAAAACTGACAGCCCTGTCACACTGTAATATTTTAGACAGCTTGTGACAACTTATGAACACTAGGCCCTCATGCAAGAACATGTTTGTATTCTTATCCTAAATTTCTCTTACTTTTGTTCGTATGAAGCGTTCGTACGAACATGCCACGTCAGATTCAACAAACTCTATCTTCAGGAAAAGTGTGTAAATGAGCATCATCAGCTGATGAATGTGTACAGTATCAGCTGCTCGTGCATGAGGAGAGGTGATTAGCATAATTACCACCCCAAAAACACCATATAAGGCTACGTTTCCTGCCCCACATACCAGGAAGTGTTCAGTCATAAATGGCTTCGCAAAGTAAAAAGAAGAACTTCACAAGTTRGGAGATTGAAGTCCTGCTGTCAGAGATCCAGAAAAGAAAATCTGTCTTTTTAGCAGCGCCAGCTGTGGAATTCAAGGAGCTGCTAAAGCCGAGGAATGAAATGATGCCTGCTGTTAATGTTGTGTCTCCTATGGGTCGTATATACAGACACAGAAATAAAAAATCTAAATCATATTCATCTCTCTCTAGTCCTGCTCTGGTTTTTATTTGGTCAAATATTTTTTATTTAAGTGCTAAATAATTTTAATTTATTCAGAAGAGCAACCCCCCCCCCCACCACTACTGTTGTAGTGTACAGTACACACTGTACACTAATAGCCAATTTCATTTAATTTAACCAATTTATGTCATTACTCTTCATTATTACAGTCTGGATAACAGCAGACTGACTGCTCATAAAATATACGACAGGTCTGGACCACACGTGAAATTTGTCCGTAGCTGAAAAAAATCTTAGAATAGGAGAAAATTGGTGAATGCCACAAATTCTCCTAAATCACTCGTACGCACAACTTAAGAACAAATCTGTTCATATGAACGGTTCTTGCATGAGGCCCATTGTGTCCAACATTAAAGTTGTCTGCATTGAAAATGGGATCATTAATCTGCTGGAAGCCTCTTTTAGACGTAAAAATGCTGTAATGTTAATGAGCTGAACAGAAAATGTGGTATGGTAGTATGTGAGAGGAATGTTAGGCCTTTTAATAAAGCACTTCTGGATCTAACGACTCAGTAAAGTCTATAAAACCTTCATTGTAGAGTTTGTGGAAAGGCCCAAACAGAAACAAATTACCTATAAACACAGCATGTAGCAAGAGATACACATAGGCAGTCCACTCTACTTTGACCCCATGGTCAACAATAAGATCTGTCAGCAGGATGATGGCAATATTACACCTGAAAAACACAAGCAGTGTGTTGGTTTGACAGAARAGCGACGTTATTTTGAAAAGAAAAGCTGCATTTGGTGAACCTGTGAAGRGGTATGGCAGGTGTGTTAGTCTCTGGTAAATAGTCCACTAGAGGGGCCCAGCAGCCCCCTGTTGGAGGGAAGGGGAGAGGCTCTGGCTGGTTGTGATCCATCACTTTCAAACGCCAGTTTGCATAAAGCGGCATGGAGTCACCTGGACAAAACAGAAAAACAGTCTCAGGTGGAGCAACATTTGAAAAATCCTGCTGAGTGAGCGAGAGGCAGGATGTTCTGCTTACTCTTTTCATCTTCATAGGAACCTCCAGAACTGCTGCTGTAGCGAGATTCCAGACGGTGGTGCTGGCGGTTCAGATTGCTGTTCAGACCCGAGTAGATGTCCAGATGGGTGTAACTGTACAACAAAAACTCTGTCAGCTCAGTCTGCACACCACAAACTGGGTTTATGTCAGGTTTCTGCCTCACARTTACCCACTTCTACCAGTCTAACCACTGGTCCCTGATTTAAAGAGACAACTCCTTCAGAGGCAACATTTTCCTCCAATAAAAACAGAGAAAACTATTCTCTCTCTGTTRCTACCTTAAAGCTGAGTTCAAAAAGTAGATGAAATATTTAACATGACTGAACTGATTAATGATCAGCTGTTCCTGCTTCAGAGAAAAGACTGGTCTTTTTAAATGATAAAGGCCAATAGTAACATTAGACTTTATTTAATAAACATTTATTTTAACTGTAAAATAAAGACTGTAAAAACACTAGGCTGTTTAGTTTCTATAAATTTTAAACGAAAATTTAAAAAATATATTACATGGATGGGGCCATTTAATTTACACGCAAAGCATTCTGGGTAAAAGATGACGTGGATAGGTACTCGGTGCGAGGCTGCTAGCGAGCTATATCTACCCTGAAGATTAATCTTGGACAATATCTGACGATCGGCTCTTTTAAATGAAACCAGAGAGCGTTGACAGAGAGGAGAAGGTAGAAATGACTCAGCCTGTTACTGAAAATATGGATGGAGGACAACAGAGCTGCTTCATGGAAGAAGAACCTCAGCTTAGCCTGTTAGCCTTCGTCCTATCGCCAACGCTATCACCATATACTATATACTGAGGTCACTGAGGTCCTCCATCCACATGACAGAGAGGGGAACACAAAAATGACTCCCTGTAACTGAAAATATGGATGGAGGACCTCAGTTTAGCTTGTTAGCTTTTGAGCTAGCGCTGAGCTAATACATATAAGGTGATAGAGGCTGTCTCCAAAACTGCAGGATGGGTCCTCCGAAGGTCGAATTTGTCGGCCGCATACGTCACAGCGCCGCGACGAAGGACGTCCAAAACCGAAGACTCCTCCGATG